CTTCACTGGAATTTGGAAGGCGCGTCAAATGCGAGGCGCATCTCAGAAACAAGGTTGACCGACACCAAAAATTTTTTTGCTTTATCTATTATCTTAAGAAATTTCGAAAACAGTTCTAACCTAACCTCTTTCAGGCTGTAATGGCAGCGAATCAGAACGGAGACGTTGTGAGTGTTGGCCTAGGAACAGCGAGTAAGGTAGGTTTGCCCATTTTCATGCTCCGATGTGGATCTTGGTATAACTCTCAGAAGAAAATGTCTCTAAAAATTCCCGTAATCACAGGTTATCCGATGTAACAACAAAGGAAAGTGGGTAGCCGAAGTTGGTGATGAGGAAATTGAAGTTTCAAACGCATTCTGCTTCGTGATTCCTCGTATCGATGCCGATGACGGTGACGAACAGCAGTGAGAAGAACCGATCATCGCTGCTGATGATCATGCGAAAACAACTTCAGATGGTTTTGCCATTAAAATAAATTTTTTTTCATTAGACGATTTATCAGTTTACTCATTGGAAATCAACAATTGCAAATGCTCTTTGACGGCAAAGGTTGCGCCCAGCCAAAGACTCAGTTAGAATTTGTGTGAGCTCGAATAATCAGAACTCATTCCACTTCCGATAATGATAGGTATAATCAGGTGGTAAACCCTAGATAGTAAATGTAATCGTGAAAATGTGATATTAAATGGGAGTATTTCACGATTTTATCAACCAAAACCGGTTGAGTCTCACACACTTGTAAGATCACCATATTTAAGACACAAAGGATAAAGTCTTGGAGCTCGAGCAATCCCGTCTAGGGATACGCCCAAGCATGCGACTTCCGTTCAGAATCGTAGTGGTGTATTGAATGCGACCTATACAATGACGTGCGATGGCCAGCCGATGTACATGTCAGCGCTTTCATGCTCCCAGACGAGTCTGGTACCAATTGACCGACCCTCGGAGGGATGGAAGACTTGGTCAGCCTAGGCGGATATCGATCTGGGATTCGAATCCGTGACCGTGCGTGTGAGATAGTGCGCCACTTGCCACTACACCACCTCTGCCCTGTATCAATATGTACTTTACAATATCCCGAAACTTATATTATTTTTGTATATTCGTTATACAGCAGAGACCAATGACACTACCTGCACATCAGAACTTTTCAAGACAATTGACAATGAGCAAATGTCTGAACTAAACGCGTCAGTACCTGAAATCTCGTGAGCACGATCGGAGTCATTCTCTCAAGGGACTACTCGTTAGAGTAGCCTTGGGTGGTAGAATCAGCGTAGGTTTATATGGCTCCATCAGCCTGCACTGTTAACCTTCATTAAACACATCAAAATAGTGCTACAGTTTTGTAGAATGCTCTAGGTAATTGTAACCCACTAGTGGTAATCTTGTACCTAATCAAATTCAGCCATCGATCAAGTTTACAAGGTCATGTTTTATCACACATATGAAATAAACAGTAACGTAGAGTCAAACCAGTTATGAAAAGATAACTCTAGTTTTCTTAATATGCTTTTTTATGTGGTAGTTTAGTCAGCAGTAACGTTTAAAGTGAGATGCTTCGCCCAAATTGTACAAATGTTTATAAAAAACAAGGGTAAATGTTCAAGTTTCGCTTCGCAAACGATAATTTCTCGAACCTTTCTAAAAAATGATTAGGTCCTTTGACCCGTGAAGGACTCCATTACCCGTTAAGCTGAGTATAACCTATCTAGTTAAGCCCTTGACAAAAAATTACATACTGACTTAAAACATAAACAGGTAATTGAATGAATGTACTGCGCTTGTAACATGAGCCCAAAAAGTATGGAATTCTTTTCTCAATTTCAATCCTTTCCGGCGAATATCTGTCTTTGTTATGAATGGTATATGTACACGTAGCGTTGATTGTTTCCAAGTTGTAGACATACTAACTTGTTTATGAACTTTGCTCAAGACAACATAATGACCTTTCCCTGTACACGATTGAACTAAAACACTCTTCACCGAGCAATCCAGAACCTTTATAGTGTCGCCGGCTACCTAGACAGTGCTCCATTATTGATCCTCTATTGATGCAGGTGTACTTTCAGGGATGAAACGTCCAACACCTGTATCGCCTGTGGTCCCAATGATTATCGATCCCTCAAACACACACCAATAACGTCTTCGTTCGTCTCTACCTCGAGACCTTGAGTTTCTTCGAAGATCCAGGACTTACAAAAACAGTGGCACCTACTGACCTACGGCTAAACCTAAATCTTAACCCTTTACTTCCACTCTGAAGTTCGGAGAATCGGACTAGACATTTCAGGATGTCGTCAGAAAGGTTGCAGGTTCACTTCACTGGGTATACAGATCGCATAACAAGTTGTAGCAAAGTATTTATAACCTCTAGTACCTAGATTACTAATGGGATAAACGTCGAAGTGGCTAGCCCGAACAGGAGATGGGGACTTCTCAGTAATCCCAGGATGGGTCAGATAATCAGGCAGCTTTATTACTAGTGATACCTATGGTTGGAGTGTAGATGCAAGCGGGAGACGGGCAGTAGGAACGGTTTTGCGTAATCGATCTGCCGCACGCGGCTGTCGCGAACCATTTGCCTCGTTATAACAGTTCTAGCCATTCTAGCATTCTTCATACAGCTCAATCGCTATGGGATTCCCACGTNCGACTCTCGATTAATCTCGGCATAATGAACCTCGTCGTAGGTAGTATTGGGATCGCTATGGGATTATTACTTATGGCATGATTCTACTGTTAGTTCTTTTGTTCCTGCACTTCTTACTTGCTGCTGCACTCTGCTACATTCCATGCAAGCGACGCGGCTTTGCCGCGCGCGACCATTTTGTTCCTACTGCTCCACACCCGCTGCAAGCACAATCGAATTAGGTCTTATCAAAATCAAAATCTGGGCATATTCACGAACATAAAATTCATACTGTCACCAATCAGTGTTTACTTACTTTTTTATCCCGCTGATCTGTATGTTTCAGGTCGGATATCTTAGTTTATGATCTCCAAAGCAATCAATTAGTTCAACGGCCACTAAGTACGAATGTTGAGGTCTCATCGTGCTCATCTTTATTTTCACTGATCAAGAGGCTGACAGGTGACTACTTTTCGATGAACTTGACTGCTACAAGCTTAAATAAGCTTGGATTCGCAGTAGAAAAGCCATGATGGCACGCAATAAGGCGAGGATTGGGTGTAAGTGCTTGGTGGTCGCTGGTTTTCCACCAATCGTAGAAACTCATGACACGCATGGCGACCTGATATATTCATTAATAAGTCGTGGAAGTCATTTCAATAAGATGAAGAAGTTTTCGAAATTGCTCAGAAAGGCCAGCAGCTGCAAAAGCAATTCCATCAAGAAATTAGGAAGAAATGACATATCAAGCACCACAGTCAAAACAAGGAGCAAAACAAAACGAAATGCAGACGGCATAATCAGAAACATTAAATATCTCAGTGAGTTATACAAATATTTTCACCTTATTTCTTTCTGCTATAAAAACCACCTCCAGGGACCTCCTCTTCACCCAATCATGCACTTCGCTCCAGAGTTTCTTCTCATAAGCTCGCTGCTGGCGATTGGTAAGTACTTTGAGAGATTCTGTAGGTAATAAACTTTTTACCTATTCCAAACAACCTCGTACTACTAACAGTTACTGTAGCAGTGCGATAAATAAATATATAAAAATAAATCTAATGAGTTAGAAGGGCGGAGGTGGTGGAGTGGCTAGAGGCGCACTATCACGCACGAAGTTCGAGGCCGTGATCGTTCCTCAGCAGATTTACCAAGGCTCCCATCATCCTGTTTTGATCATTTGGTACAAAACTTGTCCGGGATAATAAAAGCACAGACTTGTACTTCGGCTGGCCAACACAATTAAATGTATAGGCCACCATGCCTTCTATTCGCTTCTACGATTCTGAATGGAACTCGAATGCCGGGCCGCATCCCTCAAACCGGTTCGATTAATGCCAAAGAATTTATTTATTATTATTAATGAGCTACTAAA